CGCTCAAAACTTCCTTTGTACAATCGGTAGGATAACTAAGTATTCTTCAGAACGTTTTCTTTAGAGTCGTGGCCAGAAAATGTCTGAACACTTTTTAAGTTCTGTACTACTACAAAGGTCAGATCACGGTCTCAAATCTTACAAAAGTGAGTTAATTGACGGCAGAAACAATGCTCGACTTATGAAACCAAAAAAACAAACAAACAAACAAACATCAAATGCAACATAATTATTCAAGTTTACCGGTGGAGATGCAGCTCGTGAAAGCCATCAAGTAAGGCCAGAAACGCTAAGGACTTTTCAACCCTCTTACGCATCCAGCAAGGCGAAGTACTAAGAGAAGCTTATTTTTGAAAACGATGATTTCCGATTACGTTTTGTCAGGCGGCGCATTTCTCAACCAAAAACCCAATAGACGAGCCAGCCAAGAATAACAAAAGAATCTTGATAGCAGCTGCATTTCATTTTGCAGATGCAGTGCAAAAAGACGGCTAAAAGATAAGAAGGTGACACAAAACTCTGTCAGCTTCAGCTACCAGTAAACAAGTCTTCAGATGCCGCATAAATTTTCCACATGATTCCTCTTCGCTAGCTCTTGGCCTGTTTATTCTTGCTCTTTGCCTTTCTCTTCTTTCTCTTTCCCGTCGCTCTTCAATTGTAAGCAAATAGGTTGAATTCATACAAGAAAAAACATACAAGCTAATAGGACTATAGGGCGTTTTCACCACAAGTAACACAGGCTCACTATTTGTGTCTCGTACGGGTTTCATAAAATGAGTAAATATAGAGAACATATGGGGCGAAGTTTAGGTGTGGAAATTTGCTAGAAAATGCAAATAAAAATCGATGAAACTTACCAGGTGACGAGTTGTTGGTGACCTTAATATGCACACGAAGTTTATTTAAGCAATAGACCACACTTTCTATGGGTTTACCGGCGTGATAACCCACGCGGGATGTTGGGAGAACAGGAGAAAAGCTTGTAAATCAAAACCCATAGAAAGTGTGGTCTATTGCTTTTATGAAATAACGTCTCGTAGAATGGAGTCTTTTAGGTAAAAAATATGGTTTTAGTACCGTGATCAAGTCACGTCTTCTCTCTAAAGTCATCATAAGCCAATCATAACTCTCGATTTAATAGCGTTGAACTTTCTCAAAACTCAGAAAACTCAGTTCAGTCAAACAACAAACAGCAGCACTTCAAAACACGAGTTTTTGCACTCATTACATGATAACTTATGAAAGCTGTTTTACAGGAAAAGTCAACACAAATTCATGCGAACGTAGAATGAAAGAATAAGTTCATGGTTTGTTTACTAAAGAAGTAGAAATTAATTGGACATCAGACTGTACGTAGCTGTATTTTGTTGAGTCGATCCGTAAGAATTTCATTGTTACAGACGGAACTGACAGCTATTGTAATGGAGGACTTCATTCACTTTTTACAAGCCGCAGTGGTTTAAGATCTGTTTTCTGGACTTTATAATGATCAAGAAATGCTGCGGTAACGACGTGGCTGCATTTGCGAAGTTGTCACATGTAACTTTATATGCACGTACAGCGACCGATGGAAATATGTCAGTGGTCAAAGGTTTCTTTGCCGTAGCCACATATTGGCGTTAATATTTGTCGATTCGTGAAGTCAGGTGGTTTGAGGTAGGTTATGGCATCGATATCACCGAATAATTTGTGCAAATGTTGGAAAAAACCAGCCCGAAACTCTGACATCTTTCATCATCGTTGGCAGCTTGTTTACTGAACCTACAGCGGGCGATTTTGTACCATATCTTGATCAGAGATCTCTTTTTGGAGCAATTTCTTTCATTAAGGAATTTTATTTTGACGTAAAATAAATCAAGAATGCTAAAACTATCCGTTTTGTTGCTGGTTGGCACATGGTTAAGTTTTCCTAGAGACTCTCACCAGAAATTCACACAGTTGTTGTCTTTCTCTGCGATTGGCATCGTCGTAAAATGTAAACTGTTTTCCAGCTTTGTACTTTATAACTTCTAAAGCTATGGCAGTAGCGAATTGTGAGGCTCAGTAATAAAATGCGGAAACCAACGCTTTTAATATTAAGAAGGGCTGGGTAAGTAACTTGTTCTGTTTTTTAGCCGTTCTAAAATCGTTGTTTGCAGATCAATCCGGTTTTGTTTATGGCTCGTGGTCCGGATGCCTTTTTCTATGGGTTTACCGGTATAATAAACCATAGGTTTTTGACCAATCAGATCACGCGTACTATCTCAGTTATTTTATAAAGAAAAATAGTCTCATCTTTCCTACATAGTATAGTGGCAAGAAAGATGAATGAGACTATTTAACCCGAAACTTCGTGTACCTATTGAGGACAACAACTCACCACATGGTAAGTTTCATCGATTCTTATTTCCATTTTCTAGCAAATTTCCTTTCCTTTACTTTACCTGTAGAATGAGATTTATTTCATTATTGAAGGGGATGATAAAATCCCGTGGGGACTGCCCTATATCTGCCATATAGGTATGTGCCGCCTCATCGGGTAGGGTGTTTGCGCCGTTTTGGTCTGAAAAGGGGTAAAGATTTTAACATTTTAGTCTGGGGTTTTAATTTCAACAATGATAACATAATTTTTGCTTAATGCAAAGGGCTCAGAGGAGTTTCGTGTGAATAAATGAACTACTCATTTTAAGTCTCACCTTGAAAAATGTCTATACCTGTCGCTTAGCACGATTAATTAGCCCAATGGGATCTTTATGAATCTACTGTAAACGATTTCTTCGCTTCTTATCTGACCCAGATCGACTTTGTTGTTCGCCATTTTGAAAATCAATAACCGCAAGCCATATCCTCGCTGGCGCACGGCACGTCGCCCGAAGGGCGATCAAGGCAAAAGTGCCGAGTATATAAAAGGACAAATTTCATTCAATTTCCATTTGCGTTTCAGGGATTCGAAAATCGGTACCAAATTTGTTTCCTCCCTTTCCCTATTTTATATTGTAAGCCGATCTTGCGAGCCCTCAGTCTCTTGGTTTGCGGTATATAGAATGTGTAACGAAACTGTAACGCGAGGAAAAACTTCTAAACCAGCCCACAGTAGCGCCACTCTCGAGTCACTGAAATCAACACGCTCGACCAAATTACTGGAAAAGTTATTGACGTGAGCCGCACACACGTTCCATTGAAGGCTTTGATAGGGGCGAAGTTTGAATTCAGATGTGAAAGCTTTTAAAACAGTAAATTCAATGTAATTCATTTCGTCAACAAGTTGATGATTGGATGCTCTTAAAAATAACAGAGAAAATTATCCGAAGAAATGTTTTTAAAGAAAGAAAGAGAATCCCGGGTTAAGCACTAATCGGCCTTTGAGCAACTGCGCCCTGTAACTCACCCGACGCAGTCTGGCCAATAGAGGATGTTAGCATCAACAACGAGTACGAGTACGAGTACGAGAACGACTTCAAGCCCTACTCGTACTCGAAGTCGTTTTCTCAGCTTTCTTTGTTAGCGATGACACCGAGTTCGAGTTTATAGAAAATAAAAATTGTCATTATCTGGCGAAAAATATCCCAACAGAAGAAGATATGAATGAAGAATACTTACCTCCTTATCCAGTGTGGTTCTTGTGTTGAATTTGATGAGTATTAGCGTGTTTTGAGAGCCCGACGGTCCATCCTTCAGTTTTCAAAGGAAAATCGATTTTTCGAGGTAACTCGAAGGATGGGTAGTTACGGTCTTAAAACACGCTAAAACCCATCAAATTCAACACAACAACCACACTGGATAAAGAAGTAAGCATTCTTTATTGATATCTTCGACTGCTGAGATATTTTCGACCAAATAATGGCAATTTTCGGGGTTATTTTGTGAGCCTGTGAGGCCTGTGGAGAGACATGAAACTTTCCCGGGTAAATGCAAATTTACTCTGTCTAGGAAATATCGCGTTCGGTTGCTTTTCCTCGACTTCAAAAGCAGTATTTTACATAAAACATAATATAAGGAATGTTCAAGATAATAAAGAGAGACTATAAACGAAAAGAAACTGCATTAAACGATCGGAATTTACCTTAGCTTTGAAAACCAGCTCTTCCCAGTTGTTCTACCCACTTCGAGTTTTTGGTGAGAACTCGTCGCAGTGCAACTTGAAAGGACGACTTGCGCAGTACGCAAAATCGCTGATCTCGTTCTAGAACTCGTACTCGTTGTCGATGCTAACATCCTCTAATGTCTCCTCCGATTACAAGCACTTGACACCGAACCATAAGATATCTTTTGAAAACCGTCTTATAATGATATACACTTTAAAGGTTTCGCTGTACGCAACCCTTACGTTCAAAATATGCCATAATCATATTTATCTATGTCGCAACCACCCTTCCGCCTCAACTGCTATCTGTACGCCTATCAAACTAACCTGCGTAACAGGCGCTTGGAAGTAGTGGGCACAAGAAAAAACGGGCGCGCGAGAAGGAGACACCCTCACCCCTCGCGTGTTTCCCTCGCGCGCGCCCGTTCTCTCTTTCGCCCACTACTTCCAAGCAGCTGCTACGCAGGCTACTCAGAACAAACATATCGAACGCAGTCTCCTAAGCTCCGATTACTCCTAGTAATAATGACTTTATTTAAGTGCCAATGTATTTAGCCAGATTTCTGACTAAAAATAAAAGGAAGAAACGCAATGATACGCAAAAAAAAATTCTCGATGGATTCCATCTACTTTTTAAAGGGGTAACAAAGAGTTAAGCTTCTTTCTGTCAGAAAGACACAAGTTATTTTATAACAGCAATTATTGAACACATTTTTCCATGTTTGCAAAGCCTGACATAAACCTTTCTACGCTTGTGCAACTGTCTGGAATTCTCCCAAGCCTTTCTCGTGATTATATGGGGCTATGTAAACAGGGAAAATGTTTTCTATTGCTTAACTGTAGAACTGTTTCAATAAGACTGGAGTTCGATACCACTCCAAACTGGGTCTCGTGCAAGGACATTCTCTCTTGGCTGTGTGACGTGCCAGGCCAACCC